ACACAATCTTTTTATCTTCAAAATGGTCGGAAACCATGTTTTTTTTATTGTCATCGTCAGTTTTTACCAGAATCACATTGTTTCAGATTTGATCAAAGTAATTTCCTAAAGGGTTGGGTTGAATTAGGCAGTCCCCCTCCTCGATTGGATGGTGTTTCAATGCGTCACCGAGTTGAAAACCTTCCTGATGTGTTGTTTGGGAAACCCTTTGAAAACCAAACAATTGAGGGTTTTGGGAACATCCATAATTGGGTGAGAAGGTGCATTTTTTGGGAACTTCCTTATTGGCATGATAATCTTATTCGACATAATCTTGATGTAATGCACTGTGAGAAAAATTTTTTTGATAATATAATACACACTGTTATGAATGACAATAAGACAAAAGACAATGGGAAAGCAAGATTGGATTTAGCCATTTATTGTGACCGAAGAAAACTGCACATGGGATATAATACGCATAGGAAGCTTATGAAACCTAATGCTAGTTATACACTCACATCTGAAAAACAAAAGCTTCTATGTGCATGGCTAAAACAATTGCGCTTTCCAGATGGGTTTGCTTCCAACATATCAAGATGTGTCAACTTGAATGAGTCTAGGTTATTTGGGATGAAAAGTCATGATTGCCATGTTTTCATGCAACGACTAATTCCAGTTGCTTTTCGCGGTTTATTGCCATCTGCTATTTGGGGTCCTTTGACCGACATTAGTAACTTCTTTCATTCACTTTGTTCCCCAGTCATTAAAGTTACTGAGATGCAGAAATGGGAGGGAAAGATTGTTGAAATAATTTTTAAGTTAGAAATAATATTCTCCCCCAGCATTCTTTGATTCTATGGAACATCTAGCAATTCATCTTCCATATGAGGCCAGAGTTGGTGGTCTTGTTCAATTTTGTTGGATGTACCCATTTGAAAGGTAAAACATACAAAGAAATTGATTGATAATTTTAAAACTTACTTTTGATTACTGTTTTGTAAATTAACCTTATCAATATTTCTTTTCAGGCGCATGCACAAACTTAAGAGTACTATAGGGAATAAAAATCATGTCAAGGCATCAATTGTTGAGGCATTTATATTATACGAGATATCCCACTTTTGCTCTCGTTATTTTGGGGATGATGTTGACACAAGCTGGAATCAGCCTCCAAGGAACTATGGTGGCATTGGAACCAA